GAGACCGTTGAACGAGGTTCTTTCCCTCGCACCGATTCTTGTGCAGACGACATAAATCCCTAAGGGAATACTTCCAAATCTAAATTTTTACTTCTTACCGCTTTACTGCAGTTCGAACAGTAATACATTGTCCAATTTCTCTTTAAGAGTATTTACCTCTCTTTTCCAAATGTGACAAGTTTCACAACCGAACTATGAAGGTTCTTCATCTTCATTTTTAACTTTTTGAATATCTACCATAGATTGCTTAAGAGCTTCCATATTCTTTCCGATTTCTAAAAATTTACCTTCCAAATATGAAAAGATTCTTTTGTTTGAAGCTAACTTTTTGAAAGCGTCTACGACTTCTCTATGCAAACTTTCAAAGAATTTTTGTAACTTGGAATAAAAAAATTTATCAACATGTTCATATTTAGAATAACTTACATTATTTTTCTTCTTTTCATGATAATGAGTCGAGAGATAAATTTTTCCTATTATTCCTCATCATTTGAGCTTTCATCACTTAATGAATCGCTATCACTTTCCCAAGAAATATAAGTTCTTATGGACTTGTTAGATTTCTTGTGATGACCTTTCTCAAGCAATGGACATTTCGGCTTGTAGTGACCGGTTTTGCCACAATTGAAACATGAACTTTTTGATCTTCCCTTCATGTTATCATATCCATTTAAGGAGTTTGATTGCCTTCTAAATTTGAGGAGGTTTTTGTCAGAGTACTTTACACCATTTATTTTTAACTACCTTTTCCCAAAAAGTCCCATATCTTCATCATCCGAATTCTCGTCATCTTTTGTTTCACAATCACTTTGCTCATTGGTTGAGGTCTTTGAACTTGAAAGCTTCAGAGCAATAGACTTCTTTTCTACCTCTTTTTCCGTACCTTTCTCCGTCTTTATCTTCTTTTTCGTGCTCTTTCTCATGTTTTTCCAAGCAAGTGATTTCTTGCTCATGTTCTTCTAGCTTGCCAAATAAAGTTGTGAGATTGAGTGTTTTAAGATCATTCACTTCTTTGATTATGGTGACGTTACAATGTTATTCCCTATTAAGACACCTCAAAACTTTATTAGTAGCAATATGATTGGAAATAGGATTACCTAGAGCCTTCAAGCGATTTATAAGATGTATGAACCTCTTTTGCATGTCGGCAATGGTTTCACCATGCTTCATGCAAAATAGTTCAAACTCTTGATTTAAGGTATTGATTCTAGCTTGTTTGACCTCATTAGTTCCCTCATGGGAGACTTTTAATGCGTCCCACGTAGCTTTGGCGGTTTCACAATCAGAGACATGATAATATTCATCAACACCAAGTGCAGATATGAGAATATTTTGTGCCTTCCAATCATGTGACCACAATCTTCTATCATTACCATTCCATTATGTTTTGGTTCGATGAAACCTTTAGCATTGGTCATTGTAATTTGATTAGGACCATTGATGATGGCATCTCATACACCCTATCAACCGACTTGATATGGATACGCATACAAGCTTTCCAATAGCCATAATCTTTCCCAATAAAGATCGGTGCTCTATTGTACACCCCTTTAGGTTCAGTAGCCATTTTCTAATAAGAGAGTATTGAAGCACGGAATTAACCGGAGCTTCTGATACCACTTGTTATACGGAGGTGACTTATCTAGAGGGGGTGAATAGACCCCAAGTCAAAAATTTACTTCAAAATTTATTTTGAAAAATTAGCGGCTAGCGAAAGTGACTCAGATTGAATAGTCTAAATCGAACCGCTATCAAAAAAACTAGGATATGCCTATATAAAAACCAATCGATGATAATGATAAACAAATTAATAAATATGCTGTAATCATGATTGCTTGAAAGCTACTGAACAAGTAAAGCTATTTTCAATGATATCAAACACAAAAACTTAATTGAGACAAATTGGCAAACACCTTATGTGCAATCAATTTCATTTAGAATTATGTATGGTTTTGTTGATTTGAAAATCTAACCACAATCAAATATATTGTGATCAACTTAACAAAAAAAATTTCAAAGGTTATAAAAAGGTTCAACCAAATGTATTGATCGTACAATCGAAGAATTCAACAATTTGCAAATGAAAAATAAGAGAGAGAGAGAGAGAGAGAGAGAGAGAGAGAGAGAGAGAGAGAGAGAGAGAGAGAGAGAGAGAGAGAGAGAGAGAGTACATAAGGATTTGTTTAGGCAGTTCCCAAATCGACCTCGCTATGGGTATGTTTTCCCTCAATTCGAATTCGAATTGAGATAGTGATAATTAACCTTACTTTGCAAATGTATTTTACAAGAGAAATGTAACAATGCAACCCTAAAAACCCTATGTTTGATGTTTATTCTAACACTTTATCTTACCTTGATCTGAGCTTGATCTAGTCACGCAACAATACCAATTTAATTCACCGACTCACGCTACTCCTTTGCAAGAACCCTCTATTATTCAAAGCTTTCACTCGATCGAATCTAAATTACATAATCTTGTCCAAAACCTTCAAATCCCCAATTGATCTTAAAGGAAAACCCCACCTTGTTTTGTTAGAACAAGATTTGGTTCTGCATCTGGTCTTTAGTTTTGATGATAACAATGCATTATTTCTTAGAGAACAATTTGTACACTAATGGTTTTGTGTCTGGTGTGCAGATTTTTCTAAATAGGTTCTGACTCTGAAGCTTTGACGTGTGACATCATCAGGCTCTGGAATTAACACACTTTAACTTTGAAGAGATACAAGTGCTTTAAAAGATGTTGTGAAGTTCTAGAAAACTCTTAGATGATGATTTTGAAGAACGTTTATGCTAAAGCTTCTGACTGTGACTCTAATTGAAGAACCTCTGAAGGATTGTCTGCCAGTGGAGAAGCTATCAATTATGTGTGAATTTTTGGTGGAATTTGATAACCTCAAGGCAAATAGGTACGATCTGTTTGGTACTTTAAGGTCTCAAGGATGGGAAGGTTACTTTGAACGTCTCAAAAGACCTGTTTACGACTCGCTTGTTAAGCAATTGTGAATTTTTGCTGAGGATTATAAACTTCAAGTGACTTCATATGTGTTATGTCAAAAAATTTCCATCTCTGAGAAGTTGATTGCTACACTTCTAGGTCATGATGGTTCTGGAAAACAGTGCTTTAGTATGAATGCTAATAAAAAGAAGTTGTAAGAGGTTGCAAAAGTTATTTTTCTGAAGTTAGACAGTGAAGAGAACATCTATTAAAACTTCATCAAGTCAAACGTCTAGAAAGTCTTGCAAGCATCTTTATCTGTCTATGTTTCCTTTTTTTCTTACATGACTACATTGAATATATTATATATGTGAAACCTGGTGGAAATTATGGTTTTCGTTCTATTGCAGTTCTACTTTGATGGGTTGAAGAGTCATGGTCCTTGGTTAGGACACAACTAGATAGTGAAGTTTATCTAAACAATCAAATTTATTCCAAGGTGTTCTATGACACCGTCTCTAAAATTAGGAATTCGTTGCGAGTATCTAGCTTAGGTGTTCAAGATCGTGAGAAGTGGATGACGATTCCTTATATGAATTACCCTATTGCTTCTAGATACAGTATGATTGGTTTCGTCGTTTGATAACCTTAACATTACTTTTCCCAATTGTGGTATCTTTATCTATGTCTGCGAGTAGACATAAGCTTATTGTATTTGATTTTGTTAACAAGAGTTATTGGATTCAGGTAAAGTTAAAATCCGATTGTCTACTGCCTCCCGTCACTGACCACTAAAGACAGAATTGTAGTGAAGGTGCAAAAGCATGGAAAACTACATACGCAAGACGTATAAGACACTGAAAAGAAGAAGTTAAGAAGTCAACATAATTTATTTTGTATTAATATTGTCTAATTTTTATAATTAAATATATACATTTTATTGGATTTTTATTATACCGATACTTTTGAATGTTAATTTATGTTATAAATTTAAGGACATAATAAAGTATGTTAAGATTTTTAAATGTGCGTTTTTACTGTATTTAAAAAATTCAAAAAATTTTAAAATCTCAACTACCTACTCAAATTTTTAAAAATCCAAAAATAATTTGTGAATACTGGATTTTTAATATATCCGATATACTATGTTACTTATTGTATTTTTAAAATATACAATTTTTAAAAACTTACAATAATTTATCCAAAACACTTGGATCACACCATTTTTTTTTTTAAAAATCCGGTAAGTATTTATGATTGCCTCAAAAATCTGGTAAATAACACAAATTAAGTAAAAACTCAAATTAAGTAAATAACACAAATTAAGTAAAGACTCGTACTTGGATTAAACTCAAAAATCTATTATAACTATCCAAATATCCTGTATATCACAAAAGTTCTTCAAAAATCCAAAAATTTTAATTTTATTTGTTTATAGACAATTTGATAAAAAAAATGTACACATTGGGGGTGCCAGGCTAAAAAAAGGGTAATCAGTCTATTAATTGATTCATTCTCAACATAAAACCTTCAAATTAACAACAAAAACAAAAATGGCAATCAAAATATGTGTATACTTTGCATGAATTGCATTACAACATTGTGACACCAATTTTTTCCAGTGTAATTTAAATTCTAATCACCTCTTCATACAAAAATGTTCAAATCAATGTTCTTCCATTAAATAGTGAATTTGATATGTTCTTGCATACCATAATCCCTCATTCAGAACATATATTGTTGAGGGTAAAATAGCAGAAACATCTTATTACAATATTACCTCAAGCACCGTGGAGATAATTACAGGTAACAGTAACAACTTCTGCATTCAGCAATGCCGGTTTTAGTTCGAAAACGGGTTTTAGTCATTTACAAGAGAGCAAAAAACAAAAGGATTGCCTTGGCGTTTGAAATTACAATGCAAGAACAAACTTGTGTTTGATCTTTTGATCTCTTAATCTTCTCAGCAAGACTAAAAATTAAAGCCTTTCATGAGTTAAGTACAGCAGATGAAGTATAAACTAACTTGAAGACAGCTTCGGCATTTATAACCTCTAGAATCTCAACCATACATTCCTTCGCGCTCCCAAACATCCACCAGGAATTCAACCATTTCCTATTTATAGAAAACCAAATTGCCAATTAGTAATTTTGCATTCTCACCTCAATAGTCCAAGCAAGGAACTATAATCAATATACATGAAACACTTACTGATAGAGGTACGGACTTCGGGAAAGGTTGTCTAGTCCCAAGCAAACTTTCATAAGTTGCGTTCCGACTACAACAAAGTGAAAAACACAATGGTTGATAAGTGATCATCCATTCACAGGGGAGAAACTCAGAAACGCACAAATGGTCGGGATGTGGTTGCATAAAGCCCACATAAAGAGAACAGATATCAATAAAATACTTCAATTTCAAAAACTATGAGCTTGAAGGGCTTAAAAATCATGATATAATTGCAAATGCACGATAGGAAAAATGAAAAAGAAAGAATGAACATCAAAATATGAGCAAAAGGTGCAAGATTATGTATATACAGTTTAGTAGTGAATCAGGATATATCTTGGATATGGTTGTACAATTAGATTGTAAATCAAGCCCCTCTTTGTTTACTGTTGGATAGAAAGTATTTAAGTAATCGGGAAAAATGTAATGCAGTTGACATACTTTAATCGCGATTCTTGTTTTTCTTGGCTTTGCTTCTCAGATAGGCTGTGTCCAACCCACTGATGCCTGCTTTCATTCCAATGGCGAAGACCTGCAATGAAGAATAGCATGCATGTGATAGAAATTAACCTTAACATTTATTTTTCCTTCAAATCAAAGATAGTGAATTTCACGAATAATATACAACATTATACAGGTAAAACTAAAATAAAATGTTATTCGAGATTTAGAGATATGTATATAAATATTGAAACGAAAACAAATAAAGTAAACAATATCATGCCCCATGTGCCAATAACTCTGGAGAAAACCTTGGCCACATGACTGGACCGGACGGGATGGGGGTTTGATCCCCACTTCTATGTTGGTCCTAATGCTAAGGGCTTTCTTATGCATAAAAACAAAAGGTTCATGTGATATGCTAAAAATATCGATTGGCATTCCAATATTGATTGCTAGGAAGAAAAACAAAAACCAGAACAGGACTTGCCTTGGTTTACAAATTCGGGGTCGGTGCCTGCAGTAGAAGTTCCATTGCTTTGATAGAGAATTTGATTTAATGTACTGACAGAAGATATACTTCGTTGAGATTGAATGGTGCTGTTATCCAAATCACAAGGACTTGAACTCCAGAATCCATCCGAAGTGGTAGGTTTTCTCATACTCTGCCCCTGAATTCTTAGTCCTTTGGCAGGCTCATCAACGGCAATAATTGGTGTGGGTTTCACACAGCATCCAAAACAACCACTGCACTGTTATAAAACAAGTTAAATAACAGCAAAAGATAGAACAGTGTAAAGGCTATGGTATAAAGCATCATCATTCATTAGTAATAACGAAATTTCTCTAAGTTTTCATTTTTTCCTAGGAGAAGCATCATTTTCTTCCAGAGCCGTCTTAAGTTTTTGGTGGCCCTGCAGATTAGTCACCGCTAAACCGTGACTAAACAAATAGAAGCCATATTTAGCCACGTGATAAACATTTTACGAGACCCTATTTAACAATTGTTTAACCGTGACAAATTTTGGACCCTGTACCCGCCGCCTTCAAAGACAGCCTTGGTTTCTTGCTTCTCCTTAATAGCAGAGTTTCTGCCACAATTGTGATTTAAATCCAGATTTGCCCAAATCCAAAACCATAATTTTCTTTTTTCCTTTCAAACAAGAACAGTTTATATAAAATCCCAGCTGATAGCACAGTCAAACAATCTCAAAATCCAGAAGAAATTTTTATACAATCAACATAATTGGTTTCTCTAGTAGACCATAATAGTAGCAATTACAAATACTGAAATACTACAAGGCTATAATAAGATACATAACACAATATTCACATCACATCAAATAGTAGTTCTTAATGCCCTCATATAAACTCATATGAACTACTCATTAAGATTTTTACACACAGATTAAGAAATGTAATAATATTGTCATAATACATTCTACTTTTACTAAATTAACCTTATTAATACGTTGAAAATAGTGTAAAAAGTAATAATTAAATTACACAATTGGAAAAATACCAATCATTTCTACATTGAAAAGTGAGAATAACAATCATATTTAAACAAATATTTTTTCTTAAAACGACAGTTATAGCGAAACGGAGGGAGTACATAAGTACATTAAAAAAAATGCATTTTCTCTTCAAATTCATCAAACCCTAATTTAAACATTTCCTCAGAAGCAAAGACTTGTTAGGTCAATTTGTAGCAGCAAATCACTTTACTTTGAGTAGTAAAAACAGTAAAAACCTAATTTTGCTTCTGAAAGCCCTTTCCTGATATAAACAATACAACTAAAAACATTGAAAGATGAGTCCTAATTAATAACATAATAAAAGAATTGACCTAAATGTTGGATAACTGAATTGAATAGGAGGAAACAGAAGACACTTAGCCAGAAATGGAAAGTGAATAATTGAATAAAAATGAAGCAAATTGATTTGAAAAAATACCTAAAAACCCACCCTATATATGGCTATACATGTTGATAATAATAAAAATAAGAATAAGAATAAGAATAGGAATAGGGAGGGTTCACTCACCCCATGCAAGCAAATAGATCAGTGATCCAAGCGGTAATCATGAGAATAAATCAACAGAAACACATAGATAGATATGAGAAGGTGAAGAAGAAGGTGAACAAGAAATTTGGGATGAAGGACACGAACACGATTGTGGATTTTAACGTGTCTGTGCTGCACTACTGTCACTGTCTGTCGTTTAACAAACGCTCATTCGCTCAACGCACCATATTACATTACCCTCACTTTCTTCATTTTTTTTCTTCTTTGTATAACTCTTTTTTATGGACATTATCATAACCTAGTTTTATATTCTTTTTATTACGACCAGGGATTTCTTTTAAATTATGTCCTAAAATACATATAAAAAAAGTTATTATTTTTTATATTTTAAAATTAATTGTAAATTATATTTGAGTTTTAATAATCTTTTCATTCCATTAAATTTGGGTATTTTTTTTTTTGTTTCTGAATTTTTTTTAGATAAACTCTTAAAATTTTATTTGATTTTAATCTTTAAAGATATAATTTAAGAAACCTTTGTTATTTCAAAAAAAAATCCAAAAACGAAAATAAAAAAACACATCAATGAAAAGATTATTTAAATTTTATATTTAATATTCTTTCTCTCTTATTTTCTCCATAATTAATAATCAACTAAAATTACTTTTACAACTTTTTTATTAAAAAAAATTTATGAAAAACACAATAAAAATAATTATATATTTTTTTAATAAATGTGATTTTTATTTATTTTTTCTTATGTATTGAGAGAGGGGGATAGTTTGTAATAATTTAAAAAGTTAGGGACCAATTCACACTATTTAAAAAAAATATTAAGAATTATTTTAAAAATTTTAAAAAAATTTAAAGATAAATTTGCAAAATTTTAAAAATTAAAAAAAAATTACATGTAAAGGAGAAATTAATTCTCCGAAATTGCGATTGAGATACGATTGGAAAAATCATTTGATATCATAATTAATCTCAAACCCGATTAATTGATTCAGTAAATCGAGTACTTGTAATGGAAAAAACATATCATAATTTTTTTTTAAAATTCAAAGTTTCATTCAAACTCAAATTTGTTTTAAAAGAATTTAAATTTTATTAAGAAAAATAACATACCTCATGAATAACCTTCACTACAAATATACTCTAAAATATATGTATAAAAACTCATTAGAAGAAGAAAAAGCTTAGCACCAAAATAACAAACGTAATAAGTGACACGGACGAGGGGATTTATGTACACTACTAGGATTGGATTGGATTCGATACGACAAGCATGTCGTTTATGTAAATACGAAAAAAGAAAGAAAAAAAAATTAAGGTTTTGCTACCCAAACGATTTTTATGTAATTAAATAAAACAAGAAACATTTTTTTCGATGTTAATACCAATAATTAATATTCCCTTTATTGGCTCTTACTCTGTCAATCACCTAATACTGTATTGACAACTGGCTCCTCAATTAACATATTTAATAAGTGGACTTTCATAATGATTCATGATTAATTGTAAATTGATGAATATTAATCATTATCTTTGGAACTTTAGTTAAGGACTAAAAATATTTCTTTTATCGGAGTCTTAAATATATTCATTTTAGAAGAAAAAATTGCTTGACTAGTTTTATTATTTTTTACATAACTTTGTCATATCCACGTTGATTCTTAATGATGTCTTTCAAATGTCCTTACCAAATTTCTCATGATAATCCAACTGAAGTACTTTAGGATAGTTGCAAACATGCAATTCAAACATACAAAAAGAGGTGTTTTTTATATGAACAAAACGCATGTTTAAAACAATGTTGGGGGAGCCTATCATGTAGAACGGTCCAACAACACCTAACCTAGTTTAACTAAAGTGTTTAAAAGGAAAATTATTTTCTCACCCCTATGAAATAAAGAATGATGTACATAAAATGAAGAGCGAAAAATATTATCAAGAGTGTGCAAATAGATAGCACCTAGAAAATGATAATTAGATTTCAACTTAAGTGATTGGATAATCTAAGCCAATTTCTTTTCCTATCCTTATATCTTTTTTACTTGTGAAAATCTAGAAATATTTTTATCTGACACATTTATTTTTCACAAAAGTAAATTACTTAATTTATATCTAAATACATCATTTTTTTTATAAAAAAAGAAATGTTTTGAATATATATATCAGTAAAGTGTCATATTGAAAAAAAACAAATTGAAAAATAGAAAATGATTAAAATAAAATTATAAAATACAATTAAAATTCAAATAAAATCAAATCAAAAGTCTACAATTTTTTCTCGATTTTTTCGATCAAAAATATGAAAACAAAAAATTAATTAGAGTCAATTTTCCAAAAAAATTGAATTTTTTTTACACTAGATTGTGTAAAGACTAGAAAAGCAGGAACGCAAATGCCAAAACTCAGATACAAAACATAACAAATGGGATCAGGGATTTTTTTTCAAAAATACACCTCTAAATTCACCCTAAAAACCTGTTTAATTTACAAACGATTGGGTGATTTAAAATGCATACGTAGATGCTTCGAAAAAAACATTAAAGACATTAGTCACACCATAAATGGGAAAAGAAATTGCCTAAACTGAATGTACAGAATGTGGGGAAAAAAATTGTCTAACTAAATATACAAAATGTACAAGTTTTATAGTAAAGAGATTAAATCAAATAGAAAGAACATGATTGCCGAGATACAAAGCAAATTCATTAGAAATTAAACCATGAGAAACTATATAAGAAATTTTTAACAAGGAAACCAATAATTTATCTAGAGATATGCTTTGTGATATAACATTATAACATTTAATCTATGTCATCAATCTCAACTAAAATTAGGCAGTTGCCGAATTTTTATTGTTTCTATCTTTTTTATAATTCGATGGCGAAGTACCCAATTTTCTAAAGGGACTCTTTAAATAAACTGATTATATCTTTTAAAAAAAAATCTTGTACTGATACTTATTTTGTTTTAAAAAATCTAAAAAAACAACTCACATAAGTATCATAATTTTAAAGGAGTGGGACATTACAGGAACAACGAAGATTTTTTTCCCATTTTCCAGGTCACAACACTCATGCTAGGAATATATTCCTACCAACTAGTCCCTGGCTCTCCCTTTTACAGCTTCAGAACAAATATCACTGTGACTCGAACAAATGGGGTCACATAGGATTAAGAGAGAATGATGCATCCAAGAGTACAAAATGCAAGATATATAGATAAGATTGCAAATAATTCGGATCTGCAGCTCAAGTTATTATAAGGTTAATGGAGGTAGGCACTAATTAATTGTGCTTCATTGATCCAGCGAACATGGAAACATAACACAACAATGGTACCTTCTGTTGACCGTCTTGATGAAGAAACAGATGCTAAAGCAAGGCAAATCAAATATGGCACAGAACAAAACAAGTATAAGGAGATAACTCTGTCAACCAATACAAAGTAAGAAGTGGGTGAGTCAGAGGCCTCCATCCAGTGCAATTGACTATCATTATCTTCATATTTATTTCTTGTATTGGAAGTTGATGATTACTTCCCTACTTCTTAGACAGAATAGAGGCCAGGCCAACTCGCCATCCATACAACATAGACAAGCTGTGCCTTTGAGGAATAATAGAAGCCACACCTGTTCGAAAAGTATAGAGTGGCTTAATCTCCTGTGTGGCGCAGCTTGAACTTATCTCCACGGACCTGAATTGATTTTTAAAAAATTAGCAATCACATTTTGGAATTCAATACGCATTAAGAGTATATGAGAAAGGAACGAGCATAGCATCATTTGGATATTCACAAGTTAGCATCGTAGCATGTCAAATAAATCACCCATCTCTATAACCTGGTGTAAATCAGAATACTAGAAGAAAAATTATGCCAATCAACTATGATGTAACGTAAGCAAGTCGTATCCCCTAATTTATAAGTTTGTTTGACAAAAGTAGAAGCTAAGTTGTCAATAGTGCTCCATAGCGCCGCTATAGCAGCATAGCGTAGCAACCTGGCCTGTGAAGCGCTATAGACAGAAGTGGTCATAGCGGCCACGAATAGCAGTTTGGTACCGGAGCAATAGCAGGGCCATGGCATTTTCTTGACCTCTATTCTCAATTTGGAGGGAAAGCGCAAACCCTAATATTTTAAAACATGATTTTAAATTTTTAAGGGTATGTTGGTGTTTCCCACCCTTAGTGACCTAATATTTAATCCCACGTGCTATATATCTTCAAATTCGCTATTTTTTTTTTCATTTAGCTTCATCACTCTCCACTACGTTTTTTGTCGTTCTCCTATGCTTCGCCTCTTCTCCTTGCTCTGTTTCTCTTTAAAGGCTAGTATTCAACTCTTTTGCTCTGTTTCAACTCTCTTCTTTCTCTGTTATTTCTTTCTTTCTCTGTTTCACCTCTTTGGTGACTTATTTTTGGCTTACTTTATTTACAGCTACAACTTTTGTTCTGTTTGCCTTACCATGTTTCTCTTTTGATAACTATGGCATCATCCTCTGCCTCTTCAAGTGTAACACCAATCTAGACTTGCAAGAGTTACTAGACACCAATCCAGACTTGCTACAGTTGTGCCTATTGGGGATGAGGAGTTGGAGGTGGAAGAACAAGGATTTGAATCAAGTGATGAACAAGATAATATTAATGCGGTGGAACTTAGAAGTGACGATGAGGCAGACGCGGATGTGATTTAGAAATTCATTTTTGTTTACGTTTAGAATTTGGTTTAGTCATTTCGATTACTTTTATAATTTGATTTTGATGGGATATGACAGTTTATTATAATTCTTAATTGTTCCTTCAAATCTGTATGTTTTTTAGTCATCCCGCTAGCCACTATCCGAGATTAACCTAGAGAAGAAGCATTTAAGTGACTCTTTGTATTCCCTCTTCCATTATAACTTCTTTTTCATTTCATTTTACCATTTCTTTTTTTTCTCAAAGTTTCTCCTGTGTGTATCTTTTTGACTTTTAAAACCTCTCCCAGTGTATTTTTCTCTCCTCAAAATTTCATTTCAGTTCTTGTTTTTGTACTTTAGGTTGCAAGAAAACTGAGGTACACAAGGAAGGAAATTGCAGTTTCATTGCAGTGTGTTTTAAAGAGGGAGAGATAAGCCTCAACGTTAGCTTTGTTTCCAAAATGCATGAGGAAGATTTCACAACCACGGTCAGAGGCTTGATTAAAGAAAAGGTGGGACTGGAAACTGGAAATGAATGGAAACCATGATAAGAACACAATTGGTGCAAAAATATTCATACCCATTTCAACATCATACATCCTAGCAAACTCACATTCCACAAGTCAGGACTCCTATTGACAGTTGAATAAAAGCTTAAGCTACAATAAGACACACAGCTGCAACCATGCCTATATAGCTTTAAAATGCATTTGAAAATCTCAATTCGAGCTAAAAATCAGCAGATTTTTTAGGTTGTAGATAAAGATCTTAAATATCAAGATTAGAACAATCTAAAGCTGCAGGTATCTTAGATATCAATATTAGTACAGTTTAAAATACAAGTTCATTTACCTGGAAGCTTTTAACTAAAAAGCACCAATGAACTCAATAAAAATCTTCCTCTTCCTCAAACACTGAAACAAACAGGCATACAATGCTTGAAAACACTAAAACGATTGTCACTTTCAAATGATGATCAAACATCAACTTCAACAGATACAACTGCAAGGGACTATGAAGCTTAAACTTGAGGAGAATAGGAAAAGTCTTTACAAATTTTGTAAAACTGTTCTTCGGACTCATAATATTTATTCGTAACTTTAGGGTTTACTTTAAGAATGGTTGGCTTAATTGTTATGTGAAGATTTTTTAACAGCTATACCAGTTTATTTCGGCCATGTAATTTGGGTATATGACTACATACACCCAACGTATTACTTGGGTACGTTAGAATTTATCTTCTACTAAATCTCCTTATTAGTAATTACTACCTCTATCCCAAATTATAAAACGTTTTGGACATTTCACACGAATTAAAAAACTTAATTATTATTTTATGGGAAAGACAAATTAGGTACGACTTTACAATAATGTCCCTCATAATTACACGAGAGAAATTAAAAGAGTTGAATGAATAAATAATAATAAATACTTGAGGGTATATTGGGAAAAGTGTCATTAATATTGCATTGGAAATGTAAAGTGACGTATAATTTGGGACAAATTTTTTACACAAAGTGACTTATAATTTGGAACAGAGGGGAGTACTAAAGTAACAGTATCCTAACTACTCAAGTAATTATTGTTTGAAAAATTCCCTGAATAGTATTAACTAGCTGACGTACATACTGCTACTTCTACTTTCTTGCACCCTAACAAGACTTTCCTCATGACTGCTGCCTGTGGCTAATGTTACTTCCCTTCAGGAGAATAACCTTATCGTCAAGGTTGAAATAGGGAAATTTCTCCTGCATAAACTGCCATTCATTCGATGTAGCCCTGGCCTGCCCTTCCACTGCACTGAAATCTGGTCTAAAGGCACATTCCATGTCTGCCAATACATCTGCCAGCCAACACTCTAACCGGTGCAGGTCAGTAGGTAACTATGCTTCCACCTCGTAGTAACTGGTCTAACAGCACATTCCATGTCTGCCAATACATCTGCCAGCCAACATTCTAATCGGTGCAGGTCAGTAGGTAACTACGTTTCCACCTCCTAGTACCCCGCAACCGACTTTCTTCAGATGAGATACATGAAATACAGGGTGAATACAACACTGCTCTAGAAGCTGTAAATTGGAAGCTACAGAAAGGAACGGAACTTATTTGTACAATAACTTGTTAAGGCCCATAACATCCTGCTGCCAAATTGGAGTGAACCTGACCTCATATTGACCCTTGCCTCTTCATAGTCTTCGGCGCTGTATGAATAATGCTCCACATGCTCTTATGGGTTTGCCAAATGATGTTTAATTTGTTGCAGCAATACCTTTAAGCTGATTAAGTCGTGCAAGACAGCCTCCGCCAAAACCTCCCTAGGTATGAATTCAGACGGGAAGGTGGATCCCTACCATAAACCACCTTGAATCGTGCACACCCTGCTGCCCGTGATAACTGGTACTGTACACCAGTACTCAGCCCCACCAAACATTTTCTGTTATTTTACATTTATCAACCAGTTCAGCAACTAACTCACCAAACACTTCAAATTCAATATGCTAGCTTTCCAACTAAACACTATCAACTACATGTTACCCAATATCCACCACAGGATTGTTTATCTACTATCACTCATTAGCTTACCTTCAACTTTTGCCAAATAAAGCATTTCACATTCACATCAGTGTGTATGCACAGGCAAATGGAATTTCAAAAACCCTAGAAAAAGGATAGTACCTATCTGTTTGAATCTAAAGACGCAGATCAAGAAAGAATCTACGGTTAACCAAAACCACATACATTATAAAACCAGGAAAGAAAGAACAGAAAACATACGGCTGATGAGAAGCGGCTTCATCTGCAAATGTTGACATGCCTTGTCTCTGTTTGTGCTTAGGGTTTGCTGTGCACAAGATATAGACTCGTCCTTTCCGTTTAATGGTTCTACAGTATTCACACATCTTCTTCACAGATGAACGCACCTTCATGACTTCTGAACAAATAAAACCAACCACATATATCATATAAATACATATACACCAAAAATCCTACTACAACACAAATAACATTCCACATGAAGCTTCATATGAATAGAAAACAATTGAATTGAATGAAATATATAGCTAGAAAATAACAAATAGAGTAGATATCACTTGTGTACTCATGTTGTAATAGTGGAATTCGCCGCTGTCGCGTCTTTGCGCGCTCACCGGAAGAGGATAAGGAAAATATAAAAACAAACAAAATTGAACAGAGAAAAACATGGATGACTTTCTCACCGTTTCTGTGACTTTCCTTGCGAGTTGCGACGACGAAGAAATTCCGGCGACGTTTTCCGGGAAATGGATTTGAGTGCGAGTGCAACTTGTTTGGTGATGATACAGCAACAAGGACGGAGCAGGCAGAGAATGATGGACTTTTCTTCAAAAGAACTGGATTGGGCCCTGGAAAATAGAATCACATCTTTGTATTGAGCATTTAACTTTATACCTAAAAAATTGTATCTACCCCACCCCCCACCCCCCCCCCCCCCCCCCACCCCACCCCACCCCCAAACACCTTTAATTAATACAAACTAGAATTAATTTTACTTTTTTTTTTCAAAAATCAAATACCCCAACTCAATGTTTTAAAAATCGGATCGATCATCGAATCGATAAAGGTATTGGATCACTGGTTTATTGGTCAAACTCAATGTTTTAAAAATCGGATCGATCATCGAATCGATAAAGGTATTGGATCACTGGTTTATTGGTCAAACAATTAAGTCATTGGTTAAACCGCATGACTAAATCGGATAAAATCGGATAACTCGGTTAAATAAACATGTCACTAAAACAAAATTATATAGGCATTAAACTAGTCGAATCGGATGACTCAGTGTCTAAAAAAAATACTAACACCTAAAAAATTTAAAAATATCATAATTTCAGAAGTTGATAATTTAAATTCAAATTTAAGTCAATTATAAATTTGACTCAAGTAATTGATTTAAAATTTTAATCAAAGTATAAATCTCAAATATAAACTTGTGTTTGTTGTCTATCAAACATGCATTACCATTTTCTTAATACAACTCTTCAATCCAACTAATAGAAATCAATGATATCAATCACATAGGAGAGAAAATAGAGTATGTTCAAATTCCGCAACTTATCAATGTTATCATCCTGCAATAGCCTCTATTTAATATATTTAACATCGCAATCACCAAATTTTAAAGGAAATAATATCAAATTTCTCATTTATTTTTATTTTTATTTTTATTTTTTAAATAATAAAAAATTGCCTCATTTTAATTTTTTTTTCAAAAAAGTGCACTTAAACCCATATTTTTAAAAATCGGATGGTCGGAGCGGTTGAATCGGGACTCGAAGTAATAATCGGTCTAGTTCAATTGTTGGATCGGATATGTAATTGAACCGATGAGAAACAGTAAAAACTAGTGTAAACCGGTAAAAACCGAAAAATTGACGGTTTAAGTGCAATTTTTTGAAAAAAAATTAAAACGACGTCATTTTTTATTATTTAAAAAATATATATAAGAGAAAGTCGATATTATTTCCTTTAAAAATTGATGATTGTGGTGTTAAACATATTAAATAGAAACTATTGCACTATTGTAGCATTGATAAGTTTCGGAATTTAAACATACTATATTTTCTCTCCTATGTGATTGATATCATTGATTTCTATTAGTTGGATTGAGGTGTTGCATAAAGTAAATGGTAATGTATGTTTGATAGACAACAAACATAAGTTTATATTTGATATTTATACTTTGATTAAACTTTTAAATCAATTACTTGACTCAAATTTATAATTGATTTAAATTTGAATTTAAATTATCAACTTTTGAAATTATTATATTTTAAAAAAAAATCGGTGTAGGTGATTTTTTTTAGACATCGAGTCATCCGGTTCGACCAGTTTAATGCCTGTATGATTTTGTTTTAGTGACAGATTTATTCAACCGAGTTATCTGATTTTACCCTATTTAGTCATACGGTCCAACCAATGACCCAATTGTCTGACCAATGAACCAGTGATCCAATATCCTCATCGTTCGATGACTGGTCCGATTTTTACCGATTCTCGTCGATTCAGTTACATACTCGATCCAACAATTGAACCAGATCGATTATCACTCTGGTTCGTGGTTCAACCGTTCGGTCCAGTCCGATTTCGAAAACTATGCCTCAATTGATCCAAGAGTCGTAAAATAAAAGTATGTCTATGAAAATTTCGGATGTTATAAAATTCATAATTTTAAGTTAAATATTCATATAGTATATTTTAATTTTAAAACTTACTAGATTTTCTTTTAAATTAAGAAATCGAGAAAGCACAAGAACAGTTCATGACGGTGTTATTATGAGCAATGAGCAACGAGCAAGAAGAAATAAACCTCGAAGAAACCATAGTTGATCATTTATATATGAGTAATGATATTTAATAAGACATAATTTGAATAATAAATGCAAGAATGCACACATATTTGTCATTTAGAAAGAAAAAAAAGTAATGATCTTTCTCAGCTCAGTGTTATGAACCATCTTTTGGAGTAGGTTTTTCTTTTGAAATATGTTGTAGAAACTGTATACTATAGAGTATTATAAAATTTGACATTTAATTTTTACTTTAGTTTGGTATATACTTTCAGAAATCATGTGTTGATGACTTCTTACTCATTAGTCCATTTTATGCAGAATGGCAGATTAAAATTCGTGTACTAAATTTATGGAAAGTCCATTCATGGAATGACCCAAATATTATTACCAGTTTAGAAATGATTTTGCTTAATGACAAGATAAATATTACAATTGAAACCTATACTATTTGGTGAATTTGACTTGAATCTTGAAAAGAGGTTCTTCTATATTATTTCTAATATATTTGTTAGATTGCATGATCCTATGTTCATTATGACAAATCATGAATATAAGATTAACTTCATCAAAATTATAAGTTGTACTAAGATTGGAGAAGTTTCATCCACCCCTAAAACTTATTTCAAATCTGTTGCTTGGTTAGTCATTCTTCAAATTTAGATTTTGCAATTATTCTTTTTAAGTTTATCTCAATTTTTAATATTTCATAATGACTTCTTTGATAATATTTTGTTAGATGTGACTGGTCATGTGATTAAAAAGTTTGACATGAAAGAAACAATTGTAAAGTATGCATGATAAATTTTCTTACCCGTGAATCTTTAAGTGGGACACTTGTCAAAAAGATTTTTGACTTATGCTATTTAAAATTTCTTATTCCTTAGCTGAATTTCAGAGTATGATACTTTTCAGAAGCCACATATCATCAGACTATTTCAGTTCTTGATGAGGCTACTTTTGATTAGCATCAGAATTTGATTGTTTCATATAAAACACAATGATAAGAATATGTACACACGCTTAACCCTTTTTACATGTATTCATCTAATCCGCCAAATGTCGATGAACATCATTCTTCATCACTATTATCACATACCCATACAATATCATATTGATCCTACCCACGCTACTTAATTAACACAACACCATAGAAGATACAATGAATATCAACTTCAAAACCATATCAAAATTTTATTCATTGATAGAAGAAAATCTGAGATCAAAGATGTGAAAAGGTTTTGTCAAGACCTACAAATACATAATCAAAGATAATCAATCAATAGAGAATCCAAACTAGTTCACAAACATAAATTAGATGAAATACATAAGGTATCAAAAAATTACATCCAAACCCCAACAAGAGATCAAAGATCTTACCTCCTCCCTCTTAGGGTTTTGTGTTCCTCTCTCTAAAATAAATGAAGAGAGATAAGTTCTGGTGTATCTAATGTTACAATATGGAAAAATGACCTAAAAAGCAATAAAAATACTTACATAGAACATTCAGGATTTGTCATGTTCGTCTAGCAAACAGATAGCGAATCCTTCGCTCTGATTTCGCCTACCGAATTTATGGTCCTTTGGGTTCTGTCCAAGTCTGGGAGTGTTTGCTACCTGCTCGCTGGTGCTTCGCCTAGCGAGCACTTCGCTACCTCACTCGCCTAGCGAACTTAGGGTCGTTTTCTTCGCTAGAGCTTCGCTACCCATTCGCCTAGCGAACTTGACAGCATGCCCATTTTTGTATGTCTTACTATTCACTTGTTTTGTGCCTAATTCCTGCAAAACAACACACATATCAAAGGTACCAAGAGATATTCTCATAATGTTGCAAACCAACCAAAGCAAGAGTGGTTTTCAACACTTTCTTGACAAAAATGAGTGAAAGATGCCAACATTTGATAGATCAAATAAGTGAAATTTGGCGTCTAACACATGTTCAGAGTCTGATATTAGGGTGAGTAACAACAATGAAAAATTTACATCCTTTTCTTAACTCTGCATCAGAACATGAGGTGTCAAACTCAGATTCTGATGCAAGTAAGAGACTGAATCTGATCAGAGTCTAACTTCATAGTACGTTTCACAGTGAAATATAAATGCAAAAGTGAATAAAGAGACACGTAATATATCTTGGTTCCTCTCAACTAAGAGTAATCCAGTCTCATTGCAGCACAAGAGCTTTTAACTATAATCAGACTAATTATAGCTGCTTAAGCCAGCAACTCAAGACTTCCTAGTTAATCACCTAGAAATAGACTTTTACTCAAGCCCTTAAGCATGAGACTTCCTTGCCTAAACTACCCGTTCAGGACATCCTACTCAATCATCCAGATCGAGACTTCCTACTCTGCCTGCAAGCATTAGACTTCAATTGCTCAATCATCCAGATCGAGACTTCATGTTCTCCCTGCAAGCATAATACCTCAATGTCTAAACGTCTAGTTTATGAATTTTTTCTCTACCTGCAAGCAAGAGACTTCAGTGCTCAATCAACAGAATGAGGCTTACTTTGAGTACAGAGGCTAGAGTCTTCAGATTCTCCTAACAGAAGAATCTAGTATTAACCTTGTGTTTACTTGTGTGCTACTTCTTGGATA